AGAGAAGATAAATAGGGTAAAATCAGAGAACTTGAAGAGAGGCATCAATCGKYAGGAATAGACAAGAAGCAGCTGATATATATTGACCTAAGACTAATGAAGACTCTAATTGACTGAGAGTTTCTCAAGAAATTGGGGAAATAGTTATTTTATTCTCCAAGTAATTATAACTAACACTTATCGGGAGTATTCACTTCATCTATCCTTTCTCTCATAAAGAGACGAGAGAAGCCCTTCGTCATTGTCGACCTCACCAGAATCATTCATCAGAACCACCATCTTCGCCCCAATTTGAAATTAGAAAAATTCTAGATGAAAGACCTAAATCGAATTCCAAATTTCATCATAAATTATCAGATGTATATTGTTGGTATGAGTTAGAATGCTAACGTTTCCACTTTGATATCTTATGGTTTCTCAAATTATAAAAAGAATTGTGTATCAAGAATATCAACACAGCCATTAAAGAAGACGACAAGTGGCTTATAACTCACTCTTATTCCAAATCTACCATTTGATTCAGCTGAGAAAATACCAAAATTAAAACAAGGAGACCAAAAGCTTACATTCTCTTCCTCCTCCACTTCTTCTGCTTACCGCCAACGGCTCGTCTCTTGTGGAACAAATCACGAGAGATACTTGAAAAGGAAGAAAATTTCAACCCTGCTCCTACAAGAAGATCATCATCTTAGCCATAAATCAAACGAGAAAGAAGAGGAATTCAAGTTTGTTTGGGAAAAACCTCCAGGGGGTTGTTACATCGTCCTACGAAGCAAGGGAAACGCCATGGTCAAATTCACCATCAAATTGTTTTGAATCATTGGGATCACCCATATCGTATAAGTCTCTAGGCTGAACATGAACTGCAATATTCCATTCTGCATCGTAAGGATCTTTTACATAATATACCATTCTTGCATGCGATGCCAATACATACGGCTCATCCTCCTCATTATCTCTGGTGTGTAACAAGCGTGAAAATTTTACCATATGATTACCATATGCGTCCACTTTATATCCTCGTACCGTACGAGTATCAGCCCACTTGCATTTGAATAATACAACTCTGAAAACTTCATAGTAGTTTAACTCCATAACTTCAACAAGATTTCCATAGTATGCTACATTTCCTGCTCTTGGGTTAGGATCACTAGAGKTAGCATAACTCATAGTTTCMGCAGCAACATAAACACCACTATTTTGTGTTTTCAGGTTAGCCTCTCTTTCGGTTGCCCGGAATTTGAAACCATTCACATTGTAAGCTGAATACTTCACAARCTTTTCAGATGGACCCAAAGCTAAGCATCGTAAATCATCAGTTATCTCATCTAACTCATTCATCTCCACTTTTTGTTTGATCCATTTTGCAAAATTAAGATGCATTTCTCGGTCAATGTCGATGGCACGAGCCCTCGTGCTCCGATGCGAATGTTTCCTCCGCAACTCATTTTTATACTTCCTAAACAAGAAATTAGCAATACTTATATATTAGAGAAGTGAGTTCAATAAATATAATTAAAATCAGTTGTTCTTGAAGAGTCAAACTTACTCTTGTAAGTGATCAAGTAGTTGACAGTTGACCAATATATGCCGATGTGCTTGTTGCCTCTCTACATGACTAAGAGTACAAACCTGACCCGCTCCAACAAATCTTCCAAGGTTTGGGAAAATACGTGGAAGTTCTGAATTTGGTCTTATGCTAGTGCGAGCTAGAGGTCGATCATCAACGCGGCCAACCCGAGTAAATCATGTCTCTATATCATTGAGATACATTGA